ATTTATAATTAAGACGTAATATCTTGTATTACATCCAAATATATGGACTTTCGAGTTCGTTTTACCTTTGTCACGTGTGTGTGAATCACAAAAATTATTATTTGACGGTTATTCTCTGCTATTAATAAGGACATTCATAGCATCATCCTACACTATTACTACATAAACTTGAATTCTACTGCATTATTTTCTTAACTATCCGTGCTGGGTGTGCGACAGTTACCCATCCCAGATAGTGCGTGAGGTGTTGTGCAAGATTATGGATCGATTGAAGTTAGACATTTACACTGTTTGATACCGGTTTGGTGATGAAGAGGTTGGGCTCTCATGCGCAAGACCGAATGCCCATAGTTCGAGTCCCATTTTCAGGATCATGGACATGCATTACTCACGAGTCCAATAATAGGACGAAACGACCGTCTAGTACTTCCAGGTTTTTGATGGTGGTTTATACTAGGTTTTCTAGTACATTCGACTTAATTATCAAATAGCTCTTTGCGAATAATAGCCTACTTGCGCGTGCTTTTGAAGGTTGTAACTTTTTTTCACGTGGTACTGTTTTATTTTGCTATCAGTTTTTCCCTTCAACTTAACATTTATTAGCGATAAATAATTCGTCACTGATAGGGTTCTATCAACTTGACACCTCATTTTGGAACTCAACGCCATACATTAATTTTGCTAGTTTTCACGCTATCTCTTTCCACTAATTAACCTTAATATATTTGCTTTTAAGTAATACTGGATCTAATGCTACCATAGAACGGTGCACGTCTATTAAGTTAAATTATAACTGTCGCTGTTCACGTAATTAAACTTTATATTTACATTGCTTCCAATAATTTCCGGTCCATCTAAAAAACACAAAATCTCTCCTGATGCCTATGGCACCTTCAAAAGATATAAATCAGTCACCAAAGCGAATAATGTGAAACATTATAAACACACTGATCAGTCTGCATCCTAATCTGATCTCCCTTCAGCCATGGGCATGACATATCACTGCCTTGTATCTCGCTTGTAGATATAAATAAGAGCAGTCACATGCCGTTAGAGTTGACATCATTTGTCAGTCCAAACAAGAGCACCACATGTTGTGAGCAGTATTTAGACAGTGCGGCCGACCCCAAACACCTAACAATTTTACTATCTGCCATACTGAGTAGCGGCCCACGGAGTGAATGTAAGCCTGCCTACAATAGCCAGCCCGATGAAGTAGATCTTGAGTACTCGCTCAGACATGTACTCCATCCCCCAACTAAGTTTACACAAGGTGATCACCCGGTAGACCCTTGCAACAGGTCTGTATGTAACCATATCGACTTTAAAAACTTTGATATAAATTCCAATGATCTAATCACTGGTAGATCTAAAAGCAGCCAAACAGAACTTAGCCTCACCCAAACTATCCAAGACTTATTACCGTACAAATATTTAATCAATGTTCCAGAAAATCCCGATCTCGAAATTATAAAAAGCACTGAAAAAGTAATTGACCATATATCATCTGAAGCGTTGAAAAGACTTCAGTGTATGCAGAATGTCACTGTGTATAACATACCTGATAGTGAGAACGTAAAGATTGCTAAAAATACTCCATTACAAGAATATGGATTGTCGCAATCTTGGTGTATAACAAGAAGATTACATAAAGCACACACTAAAGCCTATTTCAATTTGGTAGTGCTACTGAAGCTAATCACCTCATCAATAGTCAGTCATTACTGAGGCGTATTCCAACATTTAAAAAGATTAGAATCATCCATGACAGGACTGCTATCCAGCGTCGAATCTTCAATGGACCACAAACTAATCAACCCAGCCTACGTAGCCGTCACACCGTTTGCCACTACACAAATCCTAAAACTCTATACACTTCCCCTACCAAGAACGGAGGCACGTCGGATGCTGCTATTAGTCCTAAGAACAAGACTGCAGATAAAGCAGCTGCAACCACTAAAGCCTTGGACACGGTTAGTCACCAACTTCTTATAGGTAAACTCGCATCTTATGGGGTTCGAAATCCTTTGCTAGCTTCGTTTGATTCCTTTCTCAGCATTCGACATCAAATAATTAAAATTAACTCTTCATTGTTTAACGCTGTCTCTGTTAGAAGTGGTGTGATATAAGGTAGTATCTTAGGCCCTTTGCTCTTTTTAGTGTTTATCAATGATATTCGTGAATGTTGTTGTGTGAGTAAGCCCCTTCTATATGCAGGTGATCTTAAAGTAGTATACTCATTTTCCCCGCGTGAGCTGAAAACCCCACAAAAACTGCATCAGCATAGAGCTTAACAAGGTAGCACAGTGGTGCTTAAAATGGCAACTGGTGCTTAATACGGCTAAATGTGGATATGCTTCGGCGATACATCTCTCAACCTAGACCTTACCATAAATAGAGAAGTGTTGTCTAGGTTACATACAGTAGTAGACTAAGGACTTAGATACTCCCAAGACTTGTCGTTTACAGAACAGATATTGAAACAGACCTCTAAGTCTCAACGTCTTGTAGGTCACATAACTCAAAACCTTTATAACAGTGAGACACTTATTTTAATGTACAAAGTTTGTGTTTGACCACTTCCATGATATTGCACGTTTACTCTTAGCAGTGCGCGCATAAAAGATAAATTAAGGCTGGAATCAGTACGGAGACAATTTGCACTTCGTATTCTTGAAGCTGATTGTACCTTAACTTATAATTCTAGATGTAATAAAATCGGGCTAAACCCTTTATGGAAGAGAAGACTCAAACTAAATCTTATCTTTTTCATCAAACTACTTAATAAACTATCCTTTACATCAAATCACGTGATTCAATATTCAGAAACTTCTCATTATAACACCCGTAATTCCTTGGCACCAGTGAAACAAACTTATTGTAAATAATCGCTTCATGTGAATTTCTTTACCTGTAAATTTTGTAGACTCTAGAATAACCTATCACGATCTATCCGTACGATAAAATCACTCCCATTATTGTTCGCTGCGTACTGGCCCTCTGAAAATGCATTACATGTTCTAGCACCTGCAAGTGTATCTCATTCCACAAGTGATATACTAGAAACTTTGAATATTTAGCCATCTTTATTAATGCATTCTATAAGTAAAACCACCTACTTGCTGTCACCTTATGTGAACACCGCCCCTAGCAACTTTAAATAGTTTGAATAATATCTAACATCAACAGTATATCACTGTCACATGACACATGCATTTTGTTAGACCTGATTGACATATTTCAGTAATTACTGCTTAGATGTTCCGTGCTCTCTGTTTTCGTTTTAATTTCTCTAATTGTAGATAACTATCATTAATTCGATCTGGCACACGAAATGACCTTAATTACACCGCTCATAAATCAACACTGTGTCCATCTAAGAAAAATTAAAAATTCCCGGCTGATGCATTGGACCGCTGTAATACATGTACTACCTAAACAATTACTGAACTAGTATACTTAAAACTTTCTTCTATCACATGTTTGTTCTCTACATCTAATGTTACTATTTATAACAAACTGGTCATGCCTGTAAACTGGCGTGAATTATGTAATTATTATTTTCAGAATATATAAAATTATTATCATCACAAGACCCTCAAAAGTCACGGGGTCCTCGAATATATGATGGCCTACGTGACTAGTTATTATCCACAAACGTTTCACACCGACAGCATGGTTCCAGGAAAAATTACTCTTCTATGAAGAACCTCCTAACCGTGATGGACAGATGGACATCTACCCTTGATCACAAAGTTGTGGTTAATGTCATATACCTTAACTTCTCAAAGGCTTTTGATAGAGTCAGTCATATATGCCTCGTCAAGAAGCTAGATCAATAAGCACCAATTAACTGTTAATTAACTGACTTACTTCATATCTGAATAATCGACGTTTTGGGGTCAGGCTAAACACCACTTTCTATCAGGCTGTAGAATGTTCTGGTGGCGTCCCTTAGAGTTAAGTACTAGGACTTCTTTTCTTGATTTATATAGACGACGTTGGAGAAGTTTGGGATCAAGTTGATGAGCCGGTACTTCAGGAAGATCTGACTCGTCTTTAGAGTTAAGAGGATAACACCGGGCTCACTTTCAACTCTTCGAAATGTAAAGTAGCCCATCTGCGACATGTTGCAGATTACGCATACAACTTAGGCCACTCCCCTCTTAAGATATCCGAAGTTGAATATCTCGGAGCGTTGGTACCCTATGATCTGAAGTCATGTGCTAACTGTGAAAACAAGGCTTCAAGAAGTCCTTGCACTAAAAACGTTGATGAGCATTTTCGGAGAGTTCGACGGTAGAACTTGACACTTGTTTTCCACCAGTTTTATTCGACCAAATTTGGAGGATGCAAGCATAACCGTTCCTCTCTCACTCCAACAGGATGAGGACATGTCGGGACTTATAAAACAGCGAGCCTTCAACTTGTTTCGGGGACTGAAATTTAAGCCTTTTGAAGAACTCAGAACACCGAAAATTTCCCCATTAAAGTGTAATCACCTAAAAGGTAATCTTTTAGTGACTTATAGCACCCTGAATACTCCTGGACACTTTTGAATACCTACTTATGCACAGTTTCAACATACACATTAGGGGTAACACACATAAACTAGAGAAACAACGTAGCAGAACAGATTGCAGGCACATCTTCTACTTCCTGAGAATAGTCAAATACTGGAATTCTTAACCGGCTGGAGTAGTTCAAGCTTTTTATTAAGAGTCTCTTAAGAACAAACTTGACATGTTACAAAGGACTTGAGGCAGTATCTCACCATAATTTACAAACACGTCTCTTTTTATCGTTAAGTATACCTAGGTTCCTATCTGGAGACATTGGCGATCCACTACCACTAGACACAGAAGCCCGTTAAGCGAAAGTTTTTTATATTCTACCAAGGACTATTTTGAACCATTTGACTATTATCTTTGTAAGCAATTCTAAAGCGCTAAAAATTAAATAAGAAGGTCATCAGCTATAAGCGTATTTGGCTATGAGAAATGGTATATCATTTTGGCCAGTTAACTATGAGCACAGATTTTTTGGATAATACCAATTTTGTGGGTGACTGCGTATGTGTATTTTTATATCAAAGCCAAGTGTGATGATCCAGCAATGACTAGGGTTATGATTGTCTTAGGATCTGGTAATGTTTATTTCATACTTTATGTTAGGTGGACACACTGCTGAAATGCTCTCATATACTTCTGTATTGACTTGTAAATTTCAACCACGTTTGTATGTTATCGCGACGACTGATTCTATGAGTGAACAAAAGGTTTTGGATTTAGAGGACAAGTGTGATATTAAAGTTAGTCTCAGTTTTGTATTACAAATCTCTAGTTCAGCATAAAGCGCATACCAAGGGCTCGAGAAGTAAAACAGTCATACGCTAGCAGCATCTTCAGTACCTTAGCGTCTTGTCTATCTGCGTTCCCCATCGTCACAAATTTTAGGGCGAAATTGGTGAGTTACAGAAACCTTTATTAACATTTACACATAATGGTCGATGTAAACTAATATTTTAACTGAGTGCTAGGGCTAGATCCTTCTTAACACTGGAGTAACGTATTCATTGGCATAACTATTTGTTGCCGGAAAGGATAGGAACTTTTCAAGTTCCTAGGTCATTGATTTGCCGTGAGTAGCTGCAATGCTTACCGCGTTTAACGTAAACCCGTGTGCTTTTGCCGAAACGCACCTTTAATCATTGCCTAAAGTGTAGTGTTGTAATTAATGTCACATTTACTTCATACCTCGCAAATTTACGACTTTTTGTGGAATACCTATATTACAAACAACATTTATTAGTTGCTTCACCTTAAATATAATGGTGCTCAAGAAATGGTTTGACCTTGTTTCCAAATCAAGACACAAAATTTCTGGAAAGACAAGTATAAACACCCAATAAAGTTATTGATTTTCTATGAAGGATAAATTTTTGTAGGGACTTTTAGTTGATACCTAATTGTACTTTATTCTAGAGTGTTTGTATAGAATCAAAAACTGTTTTTCGTGCTGTAAGTGACTAAGACTACTGTCTTATAGTCAAGGGGAATGCGTGAACTTCTTTCAAGTTTAGGGTTGATATAAATTGTTTAGGAGCTCGAAGTATGTAGACTGTTGCATCCCTTCTACTTTTAACAGTTTTATTCTCCTTCATAAATTTTCAGTAACCAGATGTAAATGTTTATCATCGTAATTTTATTGACGGAATTCCCCAGTATTAATATTTTAGCCAACACTATGTGGAGTCATTTTTACTAGCTCAATATTGTCCTCAGCTCAAATAAAGAAACTCCGCTATATGTGTAGTAGGTTAAAAAAATGTGACTACTAAATGTTTCTTCGGCAACGTTCGACACTTGGTTTTCTACATTTTATTCGTTCAGTAAAAAGACAATTGTATCCAGCTAATTAAGAAGACAAGAATAAATAATGCAATTGGAGTTTTGAGTGTGCTTAACAAATCTCAGTCACCTTGCTCTGTTGTCTCACCATAATCAAGCAACGACTTAAAGATAGATGTGATCGATTGCTGACAACCTATATATCAGATTTAGAGGGAAGCCATATTAATATGGACAATCTTGCATGCATTCATCAATGAGTAATAAGTAATCCATTTTCCGATTTTATAAACTGTTGATATCAGTTAATAGGTACAGTCAGATATAACTCACTGTCATAAAATTTTGTTATTAGTTCTTTCGTACTGTTCTGCCTTTTGTTTACTGATTCTGGTGTGCGAAGACCTCTAGAAACAAATTTTTTAGCCAACTCAGTCAAGTAGATCACAAAAGTGAATTGGGCCGCTAATTTAAGCTAACTGCTGTGATTAAATAGGTACTAGTTGATTAAATAAAAGTCATCATTCGTAATCTGGACCAAATTAAACTTCCACACGACTATGACTTACAAACTGTAGTTGCTCAGTGCGATCAATTATCCTTATTATGACAATACATGGATAGTTACTGCATAGATCAACAAAAAAGTGTGTGACTAAATTGTATTTTTTCTACGGGACACTTCAGTTCCTGATGATATTATTTATTTATTTATTCATTTTGAGATTTAAAAACTGTTATAATCCTTGTAAACTTAATATATTTAAGCACATATATCCTCTTCAAACTGGTACTTCCCGTTGTATATGCTTTTATTGTTCATAAGATTGTTATTAACTCATTTATGTATTCAATCCTTAATACAATCTGCATTTCACGTAGATTTTGTGTAATGGTCCTGGGACATGTATCCCCATATGCTTCGTGGCTATTTTACTCCACGTAAGATAAATATAATGATTTAATATATTATCACTTAATAATTGTGACACATCTTAATGAAAGTCATATTTCATGTTTCTGATTGCCGTACTTGAACTTACTTTCCATCTATGTACTTTATGTTTTTATATTAAATCAAAAAGACTTGACTATTACAAGTTACTTTGAATCACTTTAACGATTGTCTATAAAATGCACTTGTTATTTCTTGGATCTCTACGTTGTTGTTGTGGTGTTGATAACTACTGTAGATGACTCTGAGTATCTTACATAGATACCCGTATCACGCGGATCTGGTCATCTTGGTAACCAGCTTTTAACAATCCTCATAGCTCTGTTATGAGTTGCCTCCAAATGCTGTGGTGCGACCAAGGGTGGGGAGAGTCAGTTCTCCATCTCAAAATGCTCTCATATGACCAAGCGTATACAGCTACTGCCAGGGAAGTCCTACTCACTGCCTTCTCGCGGTGAGGTTGTTGCTTACGAAATCGAGCGGACGAAAAACCTGGTTGATAGGTACGTAGAATCCACCTAGGGGAGTTGGAAAACCCTGATCCCAAACCACTGGTGCACATGGGTTCCAGGATCCTGAGAGAATAAGGGGTATTCGAACCTAATGTCGGTCATCGGCTCCCATGGGACTTCATCTCCTAACGTTGCTCCACTGCCCTGTGGATTGGACCTCTAGGTGAAAGGCTCAGGAAGTGGCCCCCTAAAAACCCATCTGCTTCGGTTTGGGTACATGGGCAGTATTCCAGCTCTCACACAAATCGACTAACAAAATGTGGCTCATATATGTTTGGTGTCTCCTTGTACCAATGTTTATGTGTTTAAATAAATGAATAAACTGTCAGGAGTTCGGCCATTCGAAATAATGGAGCTTAATCAAGTGATAAAATAGTCCCAGGCAGTTGGCAAGATGTTATTGTGTAAAACTTAATCATTCAAGAATAACAAGTCTCTCCTCTTCTGAAATAATAAGAAATATTTAGGTTTTACCAAGTATTTTATAAAACTCAGTTAACTAGTACAATGTGTTTGTTCGTGTGCACTTTAATTGCTTTTAATGTTGGCATGTCATCCTTTTAGCAAAGGATGTGGTCCGTAAGCGGAGGACCTTCTGCGCTCTTGTGTCCCTGATTTTTGCACTTTCATCCTACTGTAAAAAGTCTTAAAATCGAGACTTTACACTGAATTCATTCTCGCCCATAAAATGTATGTGATAAAAAACACTTAAGTAGGTTGTGCATGATATTCATCTTTTCTGCTTTTTTGATCAGAAAAGTTTTGGCCTACATAAAAGGTTCATATTCAGTAGGATTGTTGGTTTAGTTAAAGAGATTTTGAGATGCTACTTTCATTTTTATTTCTTAGTAATAAATTGTTCATACATGGAATCATCAACTAAGATCCAACTGGGAAGTCTGAATTTTCATACCTTATTAAAAGCCAAAATTGTTACTTGATGGTATCCATCCGTCTAATTTCATAGACTATATACACTGAGTTATATTCTGAAAACTGATTTAGTGAATCCAGTTAAATAACCATACTGCAGTTCATAATCCTTAATCTGAAATTACATTTATTGAATATGATAAATGTTATTTATTTCCTAATAGTTTTACTTAGGGTGTTTGTCAAACAAATCTAGAAATGTAGTATCACGAAATACTTAATCACTTAAAATTGTAGTACACCAAAAGCACATAGAATAAGATAAGAAACTGGGGAATACAATGATACTATTTTGTGTTACCGTAGTCATTACTTCGTTTTCTTTTTCCTTTGATAACTTGGTGACTAGTGTCACTTGGTAGAGTAGTGATGTATTGACAGGCTTCTCATGAGCCGTCCTATCGACACTAATCTATTAAAGGAACCACCATAAACTCAGAATTCCAAACATCGTTTCAGTTTTTCTCACGTTTAATATACTGATCGTTAAAGGAAACTAATTTGCTTATGTGATTCTTTATATATTGTTTGCTACTTTTCTCTTTTTGTCATCAACAGGTACTAAAAATCCATTCAACTCTTATAATTTTTGTTGAAAGTATTTGTCGTACCAAAACTTTATCATTATCTGGGAAAATTTTATACTATACTCGTTTAGTAGATGTAATTGTTCAGTGGCCAGAATTGAAGACAAAATATCCAAGATCAATTTACTTAGGACTTTTATCGTAAACTACTGCATCCAAACATCCTTGTTATATGACTTGCATCCAGAGCACTTTACTTTTTATATTTATAATATGTGTTTTTTGTTCTATGCGATCATCGTTTGAGATTCGAAATACATTTTACATTTGGTTAAAATAATTATCACTGTTAGATCAAAAACGGGGAATGATTGTACACCTATAAACGAACTATTTTATTTCAGAAACGATAATTAAAGTTTTCTATACGTCTCGCTATTAGTTCGCTGAAAACAAAGTCCATTGTTTCAAGTATAGGGACGTTAGTAAATGGATAAAAATGCTTGTTTAAACAAGATGATGACTCTTTTAAACTGGTATTAAGGAATCATGTGACCGACAATAATTTGGAAACACCTAATAGACCCACTAAAAATTCAAACAACAGGGTTTTATTTCGAAACAATTTTCCAAAATGTTGAAGCGTATAGAGAGAATAACACCAAGATTGTATAGTCTGGCTAAAATACATGAAAATATTTCTTGGCTCCTTAACCTGTTTTAGATATGAGTAATTTCGTCTATCATGCTACAGTTAAGTGATTAATATGAGTCTAAAAATGTTGTGATAGTGTAAATGGCTCCTTTGAACTTGTTGATAATGTAGTCAAAATAACTTTTTGATATCATTAAATGTGACATTTCTATTCACTAAACCCTTCCTCCTGGAAGCAGAATTTCCACTGAATTAATAGAGAAACAGAAAATTTAATCCTTGTTTTTGCAATGAACAACAACCTAATTTCCTTAGTTTATTCAGTCAGTTATAGAGTAATGCTTTCTTTTCTAAGATATTCCAAGTTACGACTTATTAACTAGTTTCATTTTCGATTTATCAATTCAGTCACTATTGACTTCAGAGTTCTATTAAACCAATTTTTCACCAGAACAATATCTATTTCAAAAGGAGAATTGTAACACCGACTAGTATTACCATAAAATAACTCATTATAGTTACAAGTTAATAAAATAAAAGCTGTTACGTAAAGCACATTATCAGATGTTCAATTTTGTATTACAAAATTAAGAAAATCCCATCTAGACTAAAATTTAAAACAAATGACTTACGCTCGTTACCCCTCGTGGAGGAGCATAGGTTGCCCACCAGCTAAAACAAATGACGTATCTTACATATCAGGCTTTGATGACTTCGCACATTAAGGAACGGTATATTTTGGGATCGAGAAGTGTAAGTTGTCTGCTGCTTAGTAGAGGATATCTTATTTTGCAAAAGATCTTTTAGTATCACTCCGACTGGGCGTTTAGATCAATAATTCTGTTTGATAACCTGTTATTAGTTACTCACACCTTGTCAGTGTGTAGCATCTATTGATTAGTACCATTTATAACACTAACAATCAAAACACGTCCAAAACCCTTTTAATAGCACAAAATTCATCCTGTTTATGAACAAACTTTTAATTCAACAAATTTATTTCCTATCCATGAAAGGTATAAAAGATTAAAAATACCTAGAATCATTTTGGCTGGTTTGTATGAATAATTCATCTAATTACTTATAATTATCTATAAGCCTAGTTGTATTTGATAAAACTCTGAAACAAAGAGCTAGTTCAAACAACTTTCGTGGACTGGCATAAAATAATTTTATATAAAAGTTTGAAAATTCATTGGGGAATTATGAAATTTAATTTTAACTTTATTTCTGAAACAGAAATGAGTTCTATTTCAAAATGAAAAAAAATTGAAATAAATAGACAGATGTATAAAGAATGTATATTTTTGAGTTTTCCACTAACCGAGTACTTGTTTATGATATCACCTAGAAAACGCTGTAAAATTACGCGGCACTGGATATCTGTTCCGTTCACAAGCCTCCCATTCAGGTAATAACTCTGAGCTTACCAGTGACTAACTTCAGGAATTCGTAGCTCTAGTGTGAAGTTGTCAACGGTGAAGTTCAACTATGGATTTAAGATGAATATCGTTAGTTACAATCGATGGCTTTCATGTAATATTGCTCAATAATTGAAGGTGCAGATCTGAATCATTGGGTTTCAACTCAAATGTCTAAAGATATTACGAGAACTGTGTGCCTCGCGTTCAGTTCGTAGCATTGTCTGGGATATGGATTGCTGAGGAGTCTTAAAGTTAGTGTGAAACTACTGTTTTCTAGCTCCCGCTATATCTCTAGCCAAATTCAGCTCGTGATGTGAAACATCTCCGCACATTACAAACTTTCCACCATAATACTATCCCTTTAGATAAATTACAGTAATATGAGCATAGTGGTCTGATTCAATTACTCTTTTGTTACCTGCATATCTGTTATGCGTAGACATTTTATATATTGTATTATTTAAATATTCATGTTATAAATTAGTTGTACTTTAGGCACTGAATAACATGCGTTTCTTCCTTTCTGGGGCTCACCAGCTGGGTCTACTTTAATCCCAGTGTTGGTTTCCAGAGTGAAACTCATCACATTGCTTCCGACACAGGGTTATACATTAGATTTCTCAATCACAATAACTACCAACTTATGTTAGCCACTACTGAAAAGACAGTCAATCTTCAAAATTAAGCAATATCAAGAAACGTATGACAAAGAAAAACCGACCAAATATAGTCTTGAATATCAGCGAAAAACGCAAATAATAAGTAGGCATAGATCTGTAAACCAGACAAACAAATTATGATTAGGAGTATTTGAATTATAGTACGAACTAAGAATCCCAGAAATAACGTAATCGGATCAAGAAGTACTAGATAAACACGAACGAATGTATTGTATTTGGAATTCGAAATCAGGCATTCAACAAGTACAAAGGAATCATTAGTTCATTCAAACACCACATCCGCCACAGCTTAAATTAGACTCTAAGTTTAAAACAATTAGTCCCTTTGATAAATTTCGATAATGCAATGAGAAGACGAAGTTTATCAGAATTATGATAAACTTCGTCTTCTCATTGCATTATCGAAATAGACTCTAAGTGTCTGTAACCGATTGTACGTCTTCTTCTTAAGTTCTTCCTGTGTCTGTCCGACATTTTATTGGATAAAAACTCTGTATTATATAGAATGTACTCATTAGTATTGAAATAAACAACCGAAATCGGGACAGACTCACTTGGTTCCTGAGATTGTATACAATCGCCGTGTCGGTTGTGTACCGAAACCACTATCTAGAATTTAAAGCACAGATTCCCCAACACTATCGTCCCCCACGAAATGACGTTGGATCTTTATATCCCCAAGTTATGAATGATGTGACTTCATTTAAAACATATTTCTCATATTGAATAGAGTAAACATTGGAAGTGACTTCGTGATAAGGATAAACAGCAGTTGATATGAAATCATTCGAATTGTAATCAAACTCGAGCTCATTTAGTACTTGTGCTTCGCACTGGACAAGTTTCCCACAAGAAACAAATGCATTATGAGGACAAATAATATTTGATAGAACATCAAGATTTGATTCTTCTGAAATAGTCTCAAATTCATTAAGAGTGTCATTACAGAGTAAAGGATCATTAGAAAAATCAGCATCTATCAAAACTACATCAGGTTTTCGATCATGACTAGGTTCATTCAACATATTTTCCTCAGATTTGCAAGGAATTTCGTCAGAATTAAGTGAATCATTAGGAAAAACCATATCTGGTACAATAACGTGAGAAATCTGATAAGTCGATTGATTAGAAACTGTTATTTCGCAAGAATTCTGAGTTTCATTTAACTCTGAACTGCTATATGACTCTACACTGTCTTTTGAAATCGTTGATAAAGATAGATGATCATTATAAATACTCAACTTAATAGGATCAGAATTACAAGACTGAATATTAGTTGCAGCAAGATGTACAGTAGTATTACAAACTGACTGAGTATGTCCAATATCACCACATTTAAAGCACTTTGAATTACGAAATTTACATGAATTAAAATAGTGGAACCTGCCACAGGACAAGAATTGACTAAACTTGTGCTCATTTTCGTAAACTGCATTGCAACTTCTCAATGAATTACCTGCATAACCTTGAGTATGCACTGGGTTGGGATGACGTAATGCAGTGGAATTTTTTATATCCTCGTGAATCATTTTGCGAGATCTTCCTCCTTTACCACATTCGAAATTTGTATACTGAACATAGTCTAGTAGTAGTTCCTTGAGAGCTGTGTAAGAAAGCAAAATGGGCTTTTCCGGTAAAGCCAGAGTTTTTAATAAGTTATATGCTTCTTTTCCGATGAATATGAGGAAATGTGCTACAATGTTAACACCACAAATAAAGTGACCAACAGTTTCAACTAACCGATTAGTATACACAGGTAGTGGGTGACTGTATGGGCTAAGTACTTAATTATTTAACAGCCGGTTTTTAGGAAATTTCAAATAAATCCAACAAATAGTTTAATAACCAGGGGCAATTAGTGATCATTTTCAAGAGTTTGATAATTAGGAAAACCTTACAATATAGTAGATTGCTTAGACTACTTATCGTTATATACAACTGTAAATTATAAAAACACCTGAGAAGTCATAGTTGATGGAGTACTTAGAATAAAACACGTCAAATAAAGACGATAATCAGATTATAATGTATGACACATAAATAATAAATCTGTGCAGGTGATAGGGTAACAAGATAAGATAATAAATACTTGAATTCATTACTATAATCGTAAAAATATAACATGGTTGTTCGTAAAAAGAACGAAATATTAACTTATATTGTTATATATATATATTCAGTACAAACATGCTGTCATTATTTGTAGTTTGATCGGTGTTCCAAAACATGACACTTAACCTTGTGATCCATTTTATCTGTGCGTCTACCTTCAAAAGATAAACTACATTTTCTGACATTCATAGTGTAGTTTATGCTACTTATGTTAACAGATATGAGTAATATGTAGGATAGATCAAAACTAGAACGCCTATCAAAAGAAAATTGAAAAGATTGAACTGAAGAAAATAGAAAAGGAGAACATGAAGGAATTGAGAATTAAAAAAGA